AAAAATATTCAATGAATGCAAAAGAAAGCATAACAAAACTGAAAGGACAAAAAGAAAACATTTTAAGATGATAGCTATAAGCCTAACCAAAACAATAATCACAATGACCCAACTATTAGAATTGAGAGACTGCCAGACAGATCTTGCTTTTAGAACTACATGGCACCAACAAAAAGCACTTTAAATACAAAGATTCAAAATAAGGGATGGAGAAAGATGTATCTTGCTATTAACAACAATCAAAAGAAAACTGGCTATCAGACAAAGAAAATTTCATAAGGTATACTGCCAATGACAGCAGTTAGTTCATAATGCAGTCAATTTATCAAAGGGACATAACAATCCTAAAATGTTTATCTATTTAATAAAAGTTAAATGCATGACACAAAAAAGTAAAAATCCAAGAAATAGATAAATCAAGAGGAAATTAGAAAATATTTCTGATAAGCATAAATCAACACTTTTTGGCCAAATTTAGCAACTCAAACACAATATACAAGAGACACATCATTGCCAAGTAGGATTTTTACAAGAACACAGTTGGTTTAACATTTGAAAAGCAATCAAATAAACCACAGTAACTAAAAAGGAAAATTCGCACAACTATCTCAACAGACAGAAAAAGCATTGACAAATGCTTTGACATCCATTCCCAAAATCTTCACATATTAGAAGAAAGTGTCCTACTTTGGATAAAGGTCTCCATGAAAAATCTCCAGTTAACATTATGTCCAATAGTAAAAAATTGAGTCTTTCCCTAAGATGAAGAATAAAGTCAAACATATCTGCTCTCACCACTTCCATTCGGCATTGCCCTGGAGGAACCTAGACCAGGAAATAAAGCAAGAAAAAGAAATCCAGAGCAGAAAGGAAGAAACGAAACTTTTATTCAGACAACACGATCATCTACATAAAAAATGTACCAAGCTACTAAGAGGCGCCAGAACACATGAGCTCAGCAAAAAATCAACTGCCTTACTATATACTAGTAGTGATCGCCTATTTTAAGAAAAGTTCCAACCATTTGCGACAGGGTAAGAGGACATGAAGTATACTGGGCTACATCTCAGCCAGATGCTGTAGTGTGCGACAGAAAAGGAAAAAAAAAAATTAACTGAAAATCCAATGAGAACAGGGTCTTTGTTCCTATTGGATTCACAGACCAGTGAATCATCCAGAAAGCAAGCTATTTCTCTTTTGGAGCTCCATGGCCCTCCCCTAACCTGGCTCCCAAGCCCCAGTTAAGAGCACCTGGACCATTCATCTCTAAGACCTTGGCCAGTATCAGTGTCCCAAGGCTGTGAGACTTTCAGAAAGTCATCGGGGAGTGAGTTCTTAGAGAGCCCCAACCTCCACCAGCTCCCCCCACACTGACCAGCTTGATAGAGGTGGGATTCTCCACAACCGAGTACGCAGGAAGAGGCAACATGATGAACTGTGTGGCTGGCGCAGAGGAGCTACTCTCACCGGAATCCTGCGGGCACAGGGAAAGGCAGTTTTACGAAGAGTGACGACTGTCCAGGGCCACCCACACATGGAAGGTCCGATCCAGTTCAATGACCACCATGTGCTTATCTTATGTGCTTGTAAAATCAAATAAATCTATCATCATCTCAAAATACTTAATTAAGAACAGGAGAAAGTCAGTAACACGGGGAATGTGCTACCCTCGTCAGAAAGGCGGGGCTCCTAAGATCCCACAAACACTGGAAACACTTAGCCAGGCCAGGCGTGCTTCACTACCAGGAGCAGCGCTGAGCAGCCACTGTGGGCTGGGTTCCTTTGCAGGTGTGCCTACTCTCATCTACTCATGGCAGAGGGGTAGTGGCATGCCAGTCCTCTCAGTCTGAGGGGAATGCTACCCCTCCGAGGATGCCATCCTCCTCAGGACAACAGAGGGTATGGGGGGCCGCTCCCCCACTTCCAGAAGACCTAGCTGTACCAGGATCCTAAAACCGCTGTCCCCTCTGCATGACACAGAGCCAGTATGTCATGGCCTTCTGGGGAAGTCTGGTCACCCTGGTCTTGAAGAGACATTTCTATTTAATCTGTATCCATGAAAACCACTTGAAAAATCTTCCTAAACAGTCCAAGAGACTACTTGTGTTTTGCTGAAACGATCTTCAGAGAACTCAACATTTTGAATGATACTAACAGTCTGACACATGCTGGCTTTGACTCATTAAGGAGCACAAATACCATTTTTCTTGCTCCTGCTAATGCACATTAATTACCACCTGAGTGAAGAAAATTCTGGCTATGCTGGGCCAAAGTTGGCGAGAGTGCCCCAGAAACTTAAGAGAAGTTTGCAGCAAATCCAGGGATAAAAAAATCCCTACAGGACCACAGCACTAACAGGAGTACACACCAGTGCTCTCACTTTCCACCACTGCAGAATCACAATGGCAGGGCTAGTGCCTTTCAGTAATTCCACATAGAGCAAAAGACATTAGTCCCACAGATACTTACCCTCATGACTGTTACCACTGACATGCTCTCCCCAACCTGGGAGTGGGGCACAGCCAGGCTTCCCGGGGGGAGGTCTGACGAGTCATTCACCAAGGTCTCTTCAATGACCAGGCTTGTCTGGTAAGGCTGGTGGCTCTCCCCTACCTCCAGGGACGCCTCCTCCAGGAGCACATCCTGACCGAGGATCTCTGAGGTGGTGATCTCCTGTAGTGCACTGGGCTGGGCAAGGCTTCCCACCTCCTCGGCTAGGGCCTCCACAGCCAGGCACTGCTCCGCCATGCCTGCATGGCTGGACATGGTCTCCACAGCAGTGTTGGACACAAGAGATGGTCCTTTAGGTGACATCTGGTTCTGGGCCACACACAACTCTAGCTGAGGGCAGCTACGATCCCCTTGTAGGCTGCTCTTGGGAATGATGATGTAATCTGAGCGTGGGAGGATCTTGCGGAAACCTGGGATGTCCGGAACCACAGCAGTCAGGGCAGAGAGCTTAGAATTCTAAGGATAAGGATGCCAGGAAGGACAAATAAGCAAAGAGAGAGAGTTAGATCACATGGCTATATACTTTTTCATCTTCTTTTTTTTTTTTTTAATTTGCCTTTGCCTAGGAGAACTGGGGCGTAAGCCAGAGGTGCGGGGGCAAGGACCTACCACAGAGAATGTAGAGCAGAACTGTAAGATTCACTGAAATACACTGCCAAGGTGGGCAGTGGGCAAGACAGGAGAGGTCTCTACGCCACGTGGGCCAATTCCCTGGCTATGGATTGAACCCAGGCCATAGGGGTTATAGTGCTAAGACTTAACCCCCGAGCCCACTGGGGAGCCCCAGCTATGCACTTACTAATTACGTTTTTTTCTGCAAAAGGAACCAGACACTTGTCTATTAACCTAAGACTTAGATAGGGGTCAGCCTGTGTTAACAATGTCATTTTCATAAGAGTCACACTTTAATCAATGCAGCTTATATGCTCAATCACACAAGGGACAAACGTGGAACTGCAGGTCTTGAAAAAATACTTCTCCTTCTAGGCCGTGCTGCCCCATCTGGCCATTTAAGAGTTCCTTTCCAGCTTTGGTAGCTTTCAATCCCAAAGCAACAGAAGATTTAAACACCATTATTTTTAATGCACAATAAAAACTAAAATAGCCCAAATTACAATCAACACCAACAAGTTGGAACTCAAAGCAGTGAGCAAGGATTCTGACAGAATGGTCTCTCACAGTCTGGCTGCTCCTCTTATACATAAGAGGACAAACAGATCATGAAGCAAAGATTTCATGAGAGAATGTGTATATGGAAGGGGTTATCTGAGAGGGTCTGAATATACTGGAGGCAAATGAAATATAAATACTGACTTAAAATCTAAAGGTTCAGAAAATACTTTCCTGATCTTAAGAACAATGCTACTAAGTTAGATACTATTGTTATTCCCACTTGATAATTGAGAGAACTGAAACTCAGAGATGTAAATGTTTTCAAAACACAAAATTAGTAAGTAGTGAAATTGGTACTCCAGGCCAGGTCTTCCATGGACCACAGAGACCCAGGTATTAGAAACACAACCCTGGCCAGCTAATTGGCACCAAAAAAGGGTGCTTTTATTTTTCAATCTAAATTGAAAGCTACAGAAAAGTTCAAAGTGAACAGTTAAGTGAAGACCAAAATTAAATGGAACAAAAAATAATTTCAGAAGTATCTTTTAAAAGAAGGAACACTAAGTCAATTACAAAAGGATCCTTAAATAAATCAAAAGCAAGATGTCGATGTGACTACTTAGGGTACAAAGGAAGCACTCAGAGATGAAAGTTAAAAGCAGCACTCAGATGACACATGAAAGCAGACAGACCGAATCCTCTATGGAGCCTTTACTGGCCGATAATGCAGAAGTGACTTTCTCAGGTCACTCTGAAGCACATGGGTAAGAACAAAACTAAATGGCGGCAAGTACATAGGATGATCTGGACTTAATCAACGAATCCAAACACAATAAAAATGTCACCTTCTCTTATATGGCCACTCAACATTTTATCCACTAACAAGAAATAGTGACCAAACAAGTGGACTGTAAAACCTCAAGCAGGTTTTTTATATGACTGATTTTAAACAAAGCAAATGAGGAAACTAAGACTCAAGTTATTCTTCTGCAATCACAGTGGTTATTATCAAAGTTAATCCGTTAATATTCTTGGTGACAGTGGAGGAGATGATAGTACATATAAATTTTCATATGGACAAGGAAAAACCATTGCAGATGACTTAAACTTAAAAAAAAATCTGACTGAGCCTACATTAATCTAGTTTTAAAACTATCATTCTAGGATTCGATCAACTTTTCTTGAATCACGGGCCAAAAGATTGTTGATTTCATAATGGGAAAGCCAAAGGGAGCATGTGTACCTCTCCAGGACTCCGCCTCCCCTCTCCACAGGAACTGTTTCCCACCATGGCTTAGAGCAGGGAGTACCGAGCGGCCTCTCTGCTGTTGTAGGTAACACAAAGCTCTGCCAGAGAGAGGAACAAGCCAATAAAAACAAACAAGCAAAGACCTCAATGATAGAGGAGATGGTTCCATTAAGGGAAAATGCAGCCTGTTCTAACACGGCTGTGGCAGTCCTGAGGCACCTCTGCTCTGTTGCAGAGAAAAGAAGAAAAGAAGCCAGAGACAACTGTTTCCGTTGAAAAAAGGAGCTCAGGGACAAGGCTTCTGCTTGCAAGAACAAGGTTAATGTTCCTACAGGAATTTTGGTTTGAAAACGCACAGCCCCAGCAGCGGTAACAGCTGTCCATGCACAAAATGCTTCCTTTCCTGCTCTTCTATCCAAGCATCCCAGATCTGTCTCCTCCCTCATCTTTGATTTTAATCTCACATTTTGCTTCTAGCCTAGTTCACAACCACCAGGGATAACAGAAGAATGTGGAGTTATACAAAGCAGTGGCATCGGCCATCACACAGGCGTGTCCGTGCTGACGACATACAATAGATGGCAGCCAGCAGATAGTGAATGACAGCACATTCAACTTCTCACGTGAAAACTCACAGCATAGGAGAAATACCTACATGAACTACGCTATCAAAGGAAAATAAAACTAACTACCTGTAAGGAAAAGGTGTTACAATTATGTTAAAATTCTGAAAAGGAAGCTAAGGCTCACTTCAGAGAACGTCAGCTTCACTTACTGCTGCAAGCGGAGGACAAGAGTGCACGTGGCATCATCCAAATGGAAACAGACAGACAGTACCAAGCTCAAAAAAGTCAATAACTAAACTCAAAGTTTTCCCTGAAAAAGAAAATGAAGAACAGGAAGCTGTTTCCCCAAGGCTTCACCATTGAACCAAGAGCCAAAATAAATGGGGAAAAGATTACTTACAGGATCCAAACCCTCTTTCTCTAGTTTGGCTTTCTCCAAGTAGTAACTCCTCTCCGCCACACTGAGAAGTCGCCAGCTCTCACTTATCTTCTTATTGATCTCAGACTGAGGAAGGTGGGGGAGTTCCTGCTGCACTTTCAGGTAGATGTCATAATAGTACAGAAGGTAGGCCGACCTGAGGAAACATAAGGCTTTCCCTTATTTTTATAACTTACTCTCATTTGTCCTTATATTTATCCCAGTAAATAAACAGCATAAGGATATGAGTAGAAAACAAGGCAACACAAAGCAAGCCTTTTCATCTCAAAGCATTTATCTGAATAGGGACCGAAGTTAAGTAGCATGTAAGCAACAACCCCAGATCACGTACAGGAGGCCATTTCTCCCTCAGAGAAGCAAAGGCTGGTCTACTTTATTTTTCCGTGGCCCGCTTGCCTGGCACCTATTAAGCAGGTGCCTCCTAAACCTGACAGGCTTTAAAACCCAACGTGAAAAAAAAAAAAAAAAAAAAAAGACCAGCGTCCTGTCACTTCACATTCAAGATAAGATTACTCAAGGGCTGACCACAAAGTCTGGTTATCACTCTCACTCCTCCACACAGCCTTTGGTCACCTCACTGGTTAATGGCCTCCTCAAGGCTGAGAGTGAAGTAAACTGAACATCAAAGTGACCCACAATGAGGAGACCTCCACAGGACCTTTGGAGTGTCCAGTTGAGAAGGAGATTAGGGCTACAATTTGGGACGCTCCCTATAGACATCGTTGGTAGTACATATTACTCCTTATTAATGCCCCACTTTAAATAGCTGAACAATAATGGTAACGTTAATAAATAATAGCTCTTTTGACGTAGGTTCCAACATTTGTATGGTGCAATCTCCTGTCACAGCCTGGAGGCATAACCAAGACCTGCCCAGGAATGGGAAATCCTGGCATCAATAAGCCTGTCCCACTCCCAGTATCCATCTTTCCCTAACCCCAGTGCTCTGGGGGACTTCAATGACAGACCAAGCACTTCCAGTGACTCTGCACATCCTACAAGTCTTGCTCAATACAGCACTGCACCAGCTTCTGCCAGCAGTTACCAAAACATGTATTTGGCTAACCTGGGTTTCTTGGCCTTTTCTCCATGTATTTTATACTTTTTCTTCTTCTTCGGTGGCCCAGGGGAGGTATAACAATAGGCTTCCTCAATTTCCTCCATCACGACAGTTACCTCAGTACCATCATATGATGATGCATCCATGGCTAGAGGAAAGTCAAACACAAACATGTTTTGGGCCCTCCCTGGTGGCGCAACGGGTTAAAGTGCAATGTTGTGAAGCTATTCGCAACCACTGTAGCACAAATTCAATCCCCTGCCAGCGGGGTGACCCACATGGCCCAGCAGACCTCTCCTGGCCCACCCGCTGCTCCCCTCAGCAGTGTCTCTCAGTATATCTGCCTATACTGCTCCCCACTCTGTCTCTGGTGAATCCTCTACGCCCCTCCCCACCTCTGGTCTGTGCCCCAGTTCTTGTATGCATAAATAAATTTTAAAAAGTTGGTCAGTATTATTAAAAGTAAATTCATTTAAAAAAAAGTCTCAAGAATCAACTCTATGGCCTCCCAGCCAGCCAGGGAGTTGACCCACATTGTCTTGCCTGCTGTTCCCATCAGCGGTGTATTTCAGTCTATCTGCCTGTTCTGCTCCCCACTGTTTCTGGTGAGTCCTCTCATCCGACACCTCTGGCCTATACCCTGGTTCTTGTATGCATAAAGAAATAAATCCTTAAAAAAAAAAAATCAACCCTAAAGGAGACAGGTGTTTCCTGATCCAGTGATCTCTTGTTTGCGTCAGGGATTTAAGGCTCAGTCATTTCTCAAAGTGGATAGATCCTAAAAAGGTACTACGGTACTTCTAGCACAGATTCCAGGGTACTACCCCAGCTGTTCTGAATCAGAATCTCTGCAATATAGAGATCTGCATGCTTATTAAGTGGCCCAGGTGATTCCCCTGACAAGGTAAATGGACAAGGGCTCTCCCTGATGGCCTTCACTATTAATCACTCATAGGATACTCAGCTCAAAGACTTATTACCACCCACATTTCAAGAATTCCACCTGATAGCATGTAAAAAGAACACCTGGCCAGCAATCAGAAGTTTCAGTCACTCCCTCATGCTTCATCACCTCAAACAAACTGCTTCACTGAGTTATTCATTCAATTCAAACATGCAATCAGTGCCTAAGTGTATACTCTGCCAGCTTGTGGGACTTTGGGTAGGTTCTTTAGCAGCTTTTATTTCCTCCTATTAACAAAGAGTGATGGCCCATCACCTTAGCACAGATTTACAATAATAAAGCTCAAAGGAGATCACAGAAGTCACATACTATCCAAAAGGATTATTAAAGATGAACCATCTGTGGCTGAAATGCTCAGCATTTAGCAACCTGCCCAAGGCCACTATATCCAAATAGGAACTTGAAAACCAGGTTTTTAATCCAATAACCCAACTCTCTGAGCCACCTCCTATACTACACTGTTCCCCATCTCCACTGGCAACTTCCAAAGCAGCATTATCAATAAAATGTGATTATGGAAGTGTTCACGTCCATGTTCTCCAACATGATAGGTAGTTACAGATAATGAGCATCTAAACTATGGTTAGTGTGAATGTGGAATTGAATTTATTGTTTTGTTTAATTGCAATTAGCTTAAATAGCCATGTAGACCTAGTGACTATGGAACTAGGCAGTGCAAGTATAAATGGTAATTTGACATATTGGTATTAGCTCTCTAGCACTGACCTAAAAATAAAAAACCTACTAATAGCTTTTCCTGGGAAAACAAAGGCATAAAAATACTTGTTGGTTCAAGAAGTGTACGTTTACTTGTGGCCACGTCCTCATTTGGAGTTTTACCCACAAGACTCAACCCATCTGGAAGAAAGTTTCCAGAAACCACATGAATTTTATTGAGAGGAAATAACGTGATTGCTACTGAAAAACTTTCAGAAGAGTATTTAGGATTCTGGGGCCCAGCAGTGTTATTACAAAGCCTGTTCATCAGATGATGAACTTAGTTCTCCTTCCACAAATAAGGTATAATGAGAAAGAGAACTCCACATCAAATCTAAACTCTAACTAAGTAATCGCCAACAAGTACATTTCCCATCCTAAATTTCACTTTATTCCGCTTGTGTGATAAGAGGTTGAACTCAGTGTATACCAAGTTTACAGAAAGAAAAGAACTTGAGAATGTTGGGGAAGATAAAAATCCTTCAAGAAAAATGCAAACAGTTCACCTGCAATTATACTCCAGACCACATTATACTAAAGGTATAATTCTGTGGCATCGTTAAATAATTTCTCTTCCCACTAAAATAAAAAACAGAAAAAATGACCATTCATTCTAGCAGTCATAGTGCAGGGGCGAGGACATAACCCACAAATTGGCTAGGGAAGCAGGAGGTCAGTGAAGGAGAAGAGAAACCAGAGTTCCAATCAAGGCGATGTGGAACAATGGGGATTTTGCCCTTAATACTTGGCTTCTCAGCCACTGTGAGCCTGGCAGAGAAAAGCAGTAACTGCTGGAGAGCATCTGCAAAGAATGGCATAAGGGCCCCCAAAGCAAAGCAATTAGCAAACAAAGCCATCACAACTACCTTTGGAATATGGGGCAGCAAAACACCATCCAGGGTTTTGACTGCCACGTTTTAATTCAAGGTGCAAATTTGTTTTCTGATACCAGGCCCCAGTAGAGCAATGCAAAAACACGGGTAGGAAGGGTGCAGCGTAATGCAAAGGTTAAAACCAAGGGCTCTGGTGGACAGGATTTTAATTTTAGACCACACCTTTATTTTTAATAGCACCCGCGGAGTTCTATGACCTTGAACAAACTACATACTCTAACATTCAAGTTTTCTCATCTGCAAAACTGCTTTTCCGGCAGACTCGAAATCAGCGAGACATCTGCACAGTTCCATGAGCCCATCCTCGGAACCGCAGGAGACGGCCTTGCCGGTTCAGTCCTGGGCCACGGGTTTGACTCCGCTGGTCCCCTTCTCCGCATGAGCCCCAGGTATCCCCAAGAGCTGTCAGAGCGAGCGGGGTCTCTGGCCGAGAGCTAGCGGAGGCCGAGGCTGGCAGTTCTCGCTTTGGGGAAGGGACTCAGGTTTGGTGACCGCAACACCAGCTCGAGGTCGCTCCGCGGGTCGGCGGCGCGGGGCTCGAGGGCGGGACTTACCCGGAGGAGCGTGCGAGGCGCGCGGCTCACATTCCCGCAGGCGCCCGGCCCCGGGGCTGGACGAGGGGGCTGGCCCGCGCGCTCGCGCTCCCCGCAGTCGGCGAGAGGCGGCTCCAGTCGTAACAGGGGCAACAAGGAAGTGGAGGCGTGGGCTCGCGCGCGCATCCCGGGGGCTGGAGGAGCCCCGGCCCCGCGGCCCCGCCCGGCGACACACGGCGCGGAGTCGCGACAGCTCCTCTCGCTTCCCCCCTGGGAGTCGCGATATGGGGTCCAGCGGGCGGGCGTGGGAATACAGGTTCGCTCCGCCGGCTCTTCACCGACGACGCCTGCCGAGGGCCCCGGGGGTCAAGCCCCGGGGAGCCCGGAACAGACAGCAGGGACACGGCGTCGCCGCAGCACCGGCTTAGCGGTGGCAGCAGCAGGAGCACCAGGAGCAGCAGCAACAGTAGCAGCAGCAGCACCAGCACGGCGCGGATCGCCAGGGAGACCCGTCCCGGCGGCCCTCGCGGCGCACCGGAAGCGGCCGGCGGCGCGTGACTGCGTGCTAGACGGTGCGCAAGCGCAACAGTCCACGCTAGCCAAGAGGCGGACCCAAAGGAACTACTATCGAGGCTTTGGACGGCCCGCTAAGGCGGACGGACAGCTTCCGGCCAGAGGTTCCGGGCGGAGGAGGAAGCTGTGGTCGCAGGTCCGCAGTGGGACGCCCGGCCTCTCAGCCCTCCGGGCCTTGCTGCGGGGCGTTCAGGTAACTGGGCGCGGCTGCGTCTGAAGGCTGCAGCCCGCTTCACACCTCAGAGCCTAGTCGGGCCCTGGGCAGTTCCCAGCACCACGCTCCGAGCCCCGCGTTCAAAGCCAGACCCCAGCCATCCTCCGTTTGTCCCCACTCATTCTGGATAGGGTACCGCGTCCAACCTTCCTCTTTACCATAGTGCTGTGACCTCAGTCCGTCCCACACACAGTCATGGCGGTGAGTTCCTGGAATGACTCGAGCTGAATGATGAGGTGGAGAGACTCCGCAATCAGATAAGGCGTGTATGGCCTTTTCCGTCCCGATGTCACAAATTGTCCTACATTTGTTCAAGGACTAGCCTCACTCTGCCTGCTTTTCCCCATCTACTGTTGTCACCAGCCTCCTAGCTACCATCATTTCCTGCCTGGACTGCTGCAGTTTTTCCACCTCCACTCTTGTCCCCCTTTAGTGCGTTCTCCACATAATAGATTGATTTTTCTTTCTTTTTTGATTTTCTGTTTGATTAGTGCACTTCCTATTAAAACCGTCCGATGTCTACTCTATCGTGTAGAATAAAGTTCCAATTTCTTAGATTGATGTGGTTTAACTTTTACTACATTTTCTCTCCACATTGGGCAGTCCCCAGAACAAGCTACATATAGCACACTTTGTAGTGTTCAGAACAGTGGCTTTGTGGTCAATCTCTCTGAGTTTGAATCCAGTCCCAGTGTTACAGGATGTCCTGTAACACTGCCACATGGAATCTGTATTAAGCTTGAAAAGTAGCAAATCATGTTTCCAAAGTAGTCCTCAGTAACTGGTTCTCATCTCCTCAAAAGTTGGTTCTCATTTAGTAAATGGCACCACCATCCACTGGATTGTATAGTGCTCAAGCCAGAAATCTGGGCCTTGACCCCTCCTATACCTGACAACCAGTCCATCAGCAATACCTGCAAAAAACATAGCCCCAAACACGATTTTGAACAATCTCCACTCTTTACAGTAATTCAAGCCACCGTTATCTCACAGCCAGAGACACCTCTAGCAGCTTCCTAGCTAGCCTCTTGGATTTTTTTTTTTTTCTTATATCCTTCAATTCCATTCTTCACACACCAGTCTTTTCTTTTTTCTGTATAGAAGCACTGGGATGTAAGGGGAGACTGGGGAGCAGAAAAGGTGGAATACAGAAATACACTGCTAAGGGGAGCAGCAGGCAACACACCATAATTGGTTAGCAGCCTGACTATAGCAGTGATAGCACTGAGACTTAACCACTGAGCCACCAGGGAGGACCTCACACAACATTTTCTCCTTACTTAAAATCATTAGTAGGTTGGGCTCTCCCTGGTGGCACAGCGGGTTAAAGCACTGCACTGAGAAGCTAAAGCCACTTCCGCATGAGTTCGATCCCGCCCCCGAGGTGACCCACATG